ATTAAACATTACGTTAAGTTTCAATTATCCTGTCAAGGACTTATCAAAAAACGTCACCACATAGAAATTTTACCTCAACAGAAGGCAATCACGGTACGAAGTGCCATACTGCATGTCGCTATCAAAGAGCAGTGGTACGGCCTTCTTCCAGAAAAAAACTGTGTGGTAGCCGAGAGCTTCGATAAAACATGCGAAATAGAGGTGGTTGGCCAGTGCACAAGACAGGCTGTACTCCAGGATGAGCAGCAACCCTTGGAAGGCCAATTCTGAACTCTGGTCTTTCATTTTCCACCGATGAGAGAAGACGGTCAAAGAGTCGCGGAAGAATTGTTCCATCGGGATACCTCTAGTCACTTCATCGCCACTTTCCAAGGTGCCCAAACATTCGCATACCTCATCCATGAACTTAGTGTCATCGAGCGACTTACTGGAGGAAAATTTACGGTGGAACGGCGACACCTTCAGCGACACTAGAAACGAAACATCTGTAAATATCAAAAGAAAAAGAATCAAAATTAACCGCAGAATTTTGCTGAAATTTAACAAAACAAAATTAAAAATTAATAACAGTTAACAAACGGCTACGTCAGAAACCAGATATCTCATGGATAGAAAACTGACAAGATGGCACAAATCCTCGATATTGTGCATCCCGGCTGTGACTAAACTATTTCACAAAGGGGAAGAGTATTAGCATTATATATCACACCAGAGACCGAAAAGTAAAAGACTAGGAAGGTAAAGGCAGAAGCTACTCATTCTCTTACCAGTACCATCAGGTCATAGGTACTGTCTTCCTTTAAGAAGAACATACACGGTTAGAATATGCAACTAAATGAATGATCAAAGCTGAAGAATTGCAACACGTTACCCTATTGGTAACAGACCTAATTTATTGGACTGTACACCAGATTCATAAAACAAAACACTCCATAGAAACAGCGATAGTGTTTAGTCTTCCCAACGATTGATAATTAATTATAACCGAATGAAGAACCACGCGCTGTTAGCAAACTCCGCCGTTGTCGGTCCCAAACCCGGATGAGAAAGGAGGAGGGTTGAAAACAGTGGCAAGTCTCTGTAAAATTTAGTCAACTGCCACTCATGGTACTGACGTCATCGAAAATTATACCGGCTAGGTCGTCGCCCGGGTTACCAAGGGCCACGCAGAATGTTGCGGCACTGAGGTAGACTGGAAAAAGTCGGCGATAACAAACTGCTCAATGCCCTCTGCCAGCCGGGGACGTAGCAGAACAACAACGGCTGAAGACCGACGTAACGACGACGAACATGCCACTCACAAACAGAGATATTACCCGTTCTGAATGGAAGAGGCCGACCGCGCCATGCCATTATAGCAACTCAGAAAATGGACCACGAGAACGACATGATCAGTGGTAGCTTAAAGTCGGAAATTGGAAAATATCCTCACTCAGAGGAAAAGAACAAGAGTTACTTGATGACGCGAAAAGTACCAACTCGACACTGTCAGACTCTCGTGAAGAAACGCCAAGGCTCTGTAATCCTGAACCTCATGGGATCGAAGCCATTCTACTCAGGTGCCGATATCACGACTCACGCTCAGGCCGGTGTTCGTGTTTTGGTGGAACCGAACATCGCAGATAGGATCATTGACTAGAAGCCTGTCAGCGCAAGGGGTGGTAATCCTCCAACTAACGCTACAACAGGCTAAAGGCGTGGACTTTGGTACAGGTCTATGCGCCAAATTTGGAGAGAAAATATGAGACCTTTCTGAGAAAGTGCAGCGTGCTTTGTCCGAATGCAGAGTCCCTCATACTCATATGCAATTATAATGCGCATGTCGGAGTAGACGCAGAAATAAGGAACGGCGTGATTGGA